GATTAGAGACCAACACGTCCTGAAAGGCGTTGAGGACGCTTGGAGAAGAAAGTTTATTCACGTAAAACTGTGTCCGGCGATGCTGTTAGTAGCCACTAAAATGTAGAGCGATCTTGGTACAAACAAGTGCGTGATCCGAAGTATTCCAGATTGGTTTTGCAATCCTACATGCAGCCCCGCCATCGACAACTTACGGCGATGTGGAGAACTTGTGTCAAATGATTTCTTGAAGCACTAGCTGTCGCAAAGGATAATACACGGCGCCCGATCTGCTGCATCCAGCAGGGTGGATAGGGGTTTGGATGCCCCTGCTCAAGCTTTACTGTCTTCTTATCGTCCTGTTGCAAAACCTCAGGTTGATCCCACTGCTTTCAAGCCCCCACTTTTGTGTCCTCCACCATCTTTGTACAGTAATCGGTTATTTGCTAAGTTCGACTCACAGGCAATCGCAGACCATCGATCCGGTCCAGTCGACAAGTCCAAGTTCAACTAAGTGGAAAAGGTCAGTTCATCCGTTTCACGTGGAATCCCCCATTCTCGCTAAGACTGGCATAACACAGAACGCGGACTTTTTTATAGATTGGACAAGATGAAACACTTGACAGAATATTGGAGGCCCTATCGATTGATATTTGCGGCATATCGGAAACCCGCCTGCAAGAGCTGAGTTTCGTGCTTATCCTGCAATCTCCAACATGCTACCTTGGCGGCACATTCTCATTGCGCCTGTCTAGAGATGATGCAGCTTTGAATGCCGGTTAAGCCGGCGCGGGCATTGTTTTGAGTCCCCGGGTTGAAGTTGCCCTGATAGATTAAATCCCAGCCAACAACCGGATGGGCGTTAGGCCGAACACATTGAGAAACAATTCAATCAGTCAGACTTGCGGGCTTCTCCATCGATGATTGAGTACCCTACTCCCTGGGACATCCCCGTGGATCTGTCCTCACGCACAGAAATCGAGCGTAAGATCAGAATTTTGAAATTGAATAAAGTCACAGGGTGAGATGAAATTCTCCCAGCCTTCTTCTAATTTGGCGAAGCTGCTCTCATAGATGATTTACACGAGTTATTAGTGAAACTTTGGGAGTAGTACTCTGTCAAAATAGACTGGAGCCGTTCCGTCATAGTCCCAAATTTCAAGGTAGGTGCCCGATTGGAGTGCGGCAATCGTACAGGGATCAGTCTGATCTCAAGTGCCTCTAAATTGCTTGCGTGTCGTTATCCACAGACTGGCACACGTGAAAGTCAGATAGGCGAGGAGTCAGTGGGGTTGCGTCGAAATCGAGGCTCCAAAAACCACATCTATAGTTTGCGTCAATGGTTGGAGCACCGCCATATTTAGTGGCGACCCACCGTAGTCGTTTCTCGACATCAAAGGTGTCTTCGATTCGGTTAATCGATGCGCCCTTTGGGACTGTCTGCTCAGGAAGGGTGTGTCCAAAAAATACGTAAACATTATTAGAGCGCTGTACGCGCATAATTCGGACAGAGTGAGGGTTTATGGTAAAATGTCGCCGCTTTTCCATATCTCCAGCGATGTGATACAAGGTTGCCAGTTGTCACCTTTCCTCTTTAACTTCGCTATTGATGAAGTCATGGAAACAGCGTTCGCTGGACACGGAATACAAGCTGTAGAGTTGCTTTCTAGTGGGCGACATCTTGAGTTGGAGTATGTTGACGATATGGTCCAAATCTGTGACAACGCCCAAACGTGTCAAGCAGCACCGGACAGACTAGCACTGGTTGTCAATCGTTTTGCGCTTTTCTTAGCTCCATCGAAATTTAATGTCCCTCTCCTACCCATGCGCTGACTCAGCGGCGATCAACTAGAAGTCGTTCAGGAATTCAAGTACGTGGGCAGCTATATTAGCGCTCGTGGGATTAAAGATGAGGTCACGAACCGTATAGCAAAAGTTCCAGGTGAAAAACTTCGCCACCTGTGGCGCCAGCACGACGTCACTCTCGCCCATAAGGGCAGAGTTTACAATGAGGCCGTTCAACCCTCCTACACGGTTGTGAAACCTGGCCCATCAGGTCGACAGACAGAAAGACGCTAGCTAAGTTCGACCATCGCTGCCTACGCAACTTAGCTCATGTTTTGTGGGAACACCGTGTGAGCAATGAATATGTTCGGCGTCGCGTCTTTGGTGCAGGAAGAGAGAGAGAGATCAGCTCACCACCATTATGTCACGCACCAGGCTCCGATGGCTGGACCACATGTTGCGCATCCCAGCACACCGACCCCCGCGACGTGTGTTATTTGCGCGCCCGGGGTCTGGATGGAAGAGAAGGAGGGTAGGCAAAGCAATGACTTGGTCAAGAAGAATGTAAACCTTCGCTTCGAGATTGGCGTCGGTTGGTGCATCCTGACTGACTGCTTGCGGTCCGAAGGACGATGTACATGTTTGGTTGGACACACTCGCTGATATAGCTAAGAGGCGGTCACAAAGGAATCAGTGTTGTTTCTTTGTTCATCCCCTCTCTAGATTCCCCTTCCAATCATGATCTCATAGCAAATTATTACTATGACATTTAACACCATATTACTTGCTATTTGGAATTTTTTGTGGTGTTATTTTTAATATCTTGTCTTTTATATTGTGGCAAAGTAGGGGAGGCGTGTTTCTCACCCTCAGCTAATGTGTGTCGATGATGATGATGTTAACGGCTGACCAAGTGACGGGGGCCTCCAGGCGGCGCGTTGGCGCCAGGATCGCCGAAAACTAGTGCTCGACAGGAAGAGGCCATGATCGGCGTCAAGCTGGAGTAGGCGATCCCCGTTGTCTGTTCTGCGAGTATCATCTGCGAGTATCATAGTTGACCTCTGAGTTCAGGCTCGCCAACCCCAATTCGGTCGACCTACGCTTCTAAGTCCCCGACAAGCGCCATGGTGCTCGTATTGCGCTATTTTCGGAGCAAGTAGCAGGGTTTACAATAGAACTTATCTTTAACTGACTCAGTGCTGCAGTCTGTGAGGGCGTACGCTTCTACGACGAACAAGCAACGTCTGCTGGTTCGCTGGCTGGGTAGTCGCACCGAGGTTTCAAGTTGGATTGCGCAGACAACTGTTGACATGAATCCAGTCGAGTAGTGCTGCATTCAGCATAGGTGCTCAATGCTATCACCATGCCAGCAAGAGCAGCAGCTTCGGCGGTTGCGTCTCCGAATAAATACAATGTGAAAATACCAGTGGAAATCGTAGATTATGAAACCAGTTGTGGCATCTTGTTACGGTACTGTAATCGGGTTTCACCGAGGCAGAAGACATTAATAACAGTGGTCTCAAGAGTGAGTGCAAGGACTGCTTGTGACCCGATTTGTATTAGCGTCTGATCGTTAAAGGTGGTCAGCGTAAATTGGGAACGGCGTGCCAGAAAATGGTTGCTAATACTACTCGTCAGCGCACACTCTGACCTAAGCTCCTGATCCCTATGGCGACGCGGTATTGTGGATACGGAAATGGAGGGAGATTACAAAAGATGAGGTAGTTGAACGAACGTAGAATAAAGTAACTGAACGGTTGCGCGGTAGAGCGCGACATTACATGTTCGGCCGCCAACCCCCCGGTTGAAGGTATCATTGACAGAGAGCAGAGACAGCAAGGGGAAGTCGTCGAAACATTGATCCATAAGCTGTGTGCGCATGGTACTTGCGGGTTGTCCTGGTCGAAGAAAAGGGTTGACTTAGGAGATCCCAACCGAAGCTTTGGGTTATAAAGACCTGACCCGCAAGGCAACGGAGTGATTGACATATATCGTACACAGTTGGGAACGGGCTACAACGGTGGAGATAACACGGCGTTCGAGTGGAAATAAACAACTCAGGATGCCAGAGTGAAGCTGCACGGTCATGAGAAATTTCCTGGACCCGCCAAGGAGCACAAAGGTCGCTGACAGCCAGGTGGTTCATATGGCAACGTAGAAGCCGGTGGCAATCGAGGTCATTCATCTGCCCCCAGCAGGATACTCGCTTCTGGTCACAGAACTGAGTGGTCAGTGATCAAATGGCCGATCACATAAGTTTTGACACAGCGTCTTACGAGATCTAGTAGTAGTTAAGGAGAAACCAGGTAACTAGTCCAGAACCATCCACGCTCTAAGACGCTGCCGCTGATCGCCCATGATTGCTTGTTCATCTTGCCTTCGATCAGTTGAGACTTATTCAGTTACCTTCGCAAGGAAGGCGTTCCCCGATCCTGGGGACCTGCCCGGTGCCGCACAGCTCCGACGAAGCGATGGGGTCATGTCCTTCGGTTAATGATATAATAAAGTGAAAAAGAGAAGAGATTCACGAAAACGAATAACAGATGTGGAAAGGCTCGCTCGACTGTTAACAAGTAAATGAAGAACCCGAAGATAGGCGCATCACTACTGTTTGAGACATTGCCTCAAAAGCTGAAACCGATTGAGAGTTTGTGAGCTGAGATTTAGATACAAATCGGTTCTGTGCAGGTTTGCATTGTGGCAACGTTTCGATTTTCATGCAAGAGCTTCTTCAGGCCAGGTGAACCAGTACACAATTAGTGCAGTCTTTTATAATAAGTTAGAATGATAATCGTGAGCAGTCTATTATCTCCTGCAGTTAAACAAGCTGATAGGAGGAATTGGCTATCATTTGGTAGGAACAAAACTAATTTCCCCTGGATACACCTAAAGTGTATGCGTTCGCCATCCGAATCGAAAGCTCAAATCTGATTCTAAATCAACTAAGAATAAAGTAAGTAAGAATCAACAAAGGTAGTTCTAACTCTGAGCTGCGTGAACTAGCCCTCCTTCATAAGCGGGGTAGGCGCCATGGATGCGCAATCGTAAGATCAGTCTCCATCTGGACAGTTATACCTTGGAAGCAATAACTTATAAAACTAGAGTAAAAAAGCAATGAAGTGTCACACCCGAGCAATAAAGAAATATGACAGCGATGCAGTAAGTATACAACTCAGTCTGTAGATAAAGATAAGGCTCGCCATAGCATAACCAGAAAATGGAGTAAATGTACTTACCGTATTCCCCAGATTATTCAATCCAACAAGCCCACCATTCTGTTTATCAGTTAATAGGGTTCCCTTGGATGCACCCAATGTGGACGGCGTACCAGAGGTTGCAATGGACCACTTAGGCGAACTGCTATTATTGCTGCTGTTGCTTGTGCATACCGAACTTGGAAGTTCCGGGGAAGATTGATCTGATAGAGACTGGCGGCGAAAACTCGAAGAGTGTATCAGGGGATCATTGAAAACCGATGGAAGATAGTTTCCAGAGGGTCTTGATCCTGAAGCCGAATAGGTAGAAGTGTTTGAATTAGATGATGAAACTGAATCAACACAGCAGTTCGTGTCGATGGACAAAGCGGAGAGTTGCGATGGGAGAACATTGTCGATTTTCGCGCACGTAAGGGCTCCTGAAGTTGGCTTAGCGATGTTGTAATTCGATAGACCAGTGGCTCGGTTGGATGCCTAAAATCGATGAGTGGAAGAGAAAGTAAAGATCAGTTAGCGTGGAATAAACTTGGAACTGACGAGCCTGAGGAAGCTTTTGTGTCAAGGGCGAAAGGTTGTCACAATAAAAGCCTATTTAGGACCGATTTGTATTATAAAAACCTTGGAAATTATAAAGATTAGTTTCTTCTTAGGGTCTTAAACTCGAGTTGTAAAAAGACCAACATTGGAATTAGTTCTTAATGATATATGACTCAACAGAGCAAGAGCGACACGCCGGTACGTCGTATCGGCTCTTCGCAGCTACACAACCACAATCAACCGCGTGCGGGCTATGGACAATGGAAGTTCACCTGAGCTCACGCAGGTTAAGAGTGGTGACCATTGGATTACAAGCTACATACCTTGGTTAACAGGCCGTCGATGTTAAAATGGGTACCAGCAGGAAGCCGGCCGATCGAACAGTTATCTAGAGTTAAGAACAATTTTTGATTGTAGTAGGTGTTTGGTAAACTCACAAAAATCATCCGATAAGAATCGTTTTACCGAAATTGAGATAAAACAAGATTGGATCATGTTGAATAGCATTTGAGGTCATCGGCGTCATAAAAAAGAGGTTGCAACAAACACAGAGCGAGAGTAAACAGAAAATGAACGGGTGGCGGATTTTAGTAAAGCCGATGCGTAGCCTAAAATGAGAACATAGTGCTCCAAAAATGCTCATTTCAGTTAGGTGACAAACTAGAATCCGCGTAAGAATTAGAAACTATTTCCACTTGTCGCGGGTACTACGAAAGTGATCAACCAACAGAATGCAAGTTCGCTCCATGTCACGGGAATATTTCAACGATCAGTTGCCGTTAGAACCTGAGAAGTATGTGTTAAATCTATCAACCACTCCGTTGAGTCGTCACTAACTTGAAGCTTTATCCCTTGGTTTCAATTTTTCAGTTCCACCAAACAGATGTGACAGAGTAGGGATTGAAGCTCAGTTTGAGCATCTGTACGAACAACTGTCCAGTTTAACACCGGTCAGCGAGGACGCAAGCGGCTAGTTTAGAGCTAAAATGGTAGATTTGGCTAACCAATTCTGTGTCAGTGAAACTGAAAAGTGCAGAATCCTTACGAAGGATCATTGGGAATCCTTGAAGCAACTGCGGCGAAATGAAAATCTCGTAATACTGCGACCAGACAAGGGATTAGGAGTTGTGATTTTGGAAAAGCAGCAGTACATTCAGAAAGTCCAATCAATCCTTGCGGATTCTAGTCGTTTTGTTCAGGATGTAACAAACCGAGACAAAACTGAGCAGATAGAGAAGTTAATAGTCCGTGAATTGAAGAAGTTAGTGAAGGCCGGATTGATGGATGCCAAAACTATGACTCAGTTACGCCCCCGGGGATCGCGACTTCCCCACATGTATGGCTTACCGAAAACTCATAAGGAGGGTGTCCCAATACGTCCAATCGTCTCAATGGTAGATACACCATACCAAAAATTAGCGCGATGGCTAGCAAAACTTACTGAGCCCATCCGGAGGGAACTGACGAGCTACAGTCTAAGAGACACTTTTGAATTTGTCAACAAGATAAGTAATTTGAATGTAAAGGGAAAACACATGGTTTCTTTCGATGTATCATCATTGTTCACGAACGTACCTTTGGAAGAAACACTAGATATAATAGCCAAACACGCTGATAAAGTTGGGTTCCCAGCGCTCCAGCTAAAATCATTACTGCGCCTATGCACAAAAGATATTCAGTTCCGGTTCAATGGAACCCTGTATCGACAAATCGACGACGTGGCCATGGGCAGCCCACTGGGCCCAGTTTTGGCTGATATCTTCCTCGGAAACTTGGAAAACACTGTGTTAGCTTCTTACCTACAAAATGTACACCTTTATTGCCGGTATGTAGACGACACATTCATCGTCGTTGACACACCTGAATAGGCGGCGCACTTACTGAAACTGATGAATATGTGCCATCCAGCCATCAAGTTCACAATGGAAAGCGAGTCCGACGGATCTTTCCACTTCCTAGATGTTAACTTACAGAGAAAGCCAGATGGTACACTCGTTCGATCTGTGTACAGAAAAGCAACATGGACGGGGCAATACTTGAACTTTAATCGCCTTTGCCCAATGAACTATAAACGAGCTCTAGTACGTACCACTTTTGCTAGAGCTCGCCAAATTTGCTCATTAGACACAATCGAACATGAACTAGAACGAGTCACCTTGACGCTACAAGAGAATGGGTATCCAGCGCGATTTATAACTCGACACGCAAAAGTACGATCCGGAGATAAAACACCAACCGATGTCCCAAAGAAAAGAGTATTCATCACACTGCCCTTCAAAGGAGATCAAGTTGACCGAAGATGCAGGCATCGCCTCCGTCAATCGATTAAGAAGTGTTACCATGCAGCTGAGCTAGTGGTATTGCATCAGGTCAGAAGGCTGCTCTGTAAATCCAACCTGGACAGACCAGACTCTCAAGTTACCGCCTCTTGCATTTACCTCTTCAATTGTACTTGCGGTAGCAAGTACGTAGGCCGAACTGAGAGAAGGCTGTCAGCGAGGCTTGCAGAGCATGTTCCGCGAAACATGATTGCTAAGGGTCCGAAGCTACCAACTAGCTCTATTGCCCGCTACATCCTAGACTGCCCTAAATGTCAGAACCCACGTGGCAATTTCAGGGTAGTTAGTAAACAGGCTAATCCCCGTTTACTACAGTTTGCGGAGGCGGCAGCAATTCGGCGGCTGAAGCCAAAGCTATGCAAGCAAACGGATTTCGTGACCACGCTAGCCCTACCCTGGTGAGGCTAGCGATTGCGTTTTCCTCGGAACAGGTCACGTGAGCCTAAAGACCTTCGACCGCTTTGAATTTTTGCTGTTAACATCGCACTGTTGTCCACTCATTGTATGTAAACAGCTGAGGAGAATACGCGAAATTACTGAATTCAGTAAATTCTGTTATAATGTTGTTTCTTCTTGCTTTATTGAAATTCGTGAAGGGAAATGCCTGCATGAAACTCAACCATGCCCCTTGCTTCATCCTGGCGAAGTATTGTATTCCAGCAACGTTATGATGTAGTTCTGGAGAGCATTGGGCCCCTGTTTGACAAAGGAACAAACAAAAGGCGTATGAACTGAGCAATCAGTCATCGGTCCCCAATGGGCGCGATTCCCTGAATTCGCTCCGCTGCCTTGCGGACAGGCTATTCAGCCAAATGCTCGGGGTGGTGTCCCCTAAGTCAACGCCCTACTTCGGCTTGGACAACCGGGTAGTATCTCGCCCTGTGACAAAACCATGGATATTGTTGTGTTGTGTTTTCCTTTACTATTTCTGTACCTTCGTTTGAATCCCATGGTTTCTGATGGCACTATGTCTATTCGTAGACGTTTGCATATATATATATATATATATATATATATATATATATATATATCCCAGGATTTGGGATTTACTGTTTGCCTGTTGTTTGATATCCCCGGTGTGGATGCGCTTGATGTGCATGTTGACAAGGTGCCTACCTGTCTATTACCCACTACCTCGTCCATACTAGCTCCAGGAGACAGTTGGTCGTTGCTGGAGGGGCCAGGGTGCACGGTCCTTGTGGCCGTGTTAGGATCAAAGAGTGGTTCCATGCAGTCAGTGTGGAGTGGACTACGGTCCAGCCACCGTCTTGTGTGCGCTTGATTCCCAAATAGAGCGTGCTTGTGTTTGCCTGTGAAGGAGTGTGAGCCGGCTTCGTTGATGAAATGTGGCTCCCATCCACATGCCTTCCGGCCTTATTCCTTCGGGTTTACACTGGATATGGAATGTGTGGTTGGAGCTGTGGGTGGTGCAGCGCAAGCCACCCATGATCCCTCTGTAGGCGCAGGCGTCCTGTGGCTGGCCACAGTGACAGGCAAATCCGAATGCTGCCAACCATATATATATATATATATATATATATATATATATATATATATATATATATATATATATATATATGGGAGGATCATGGGTCAGATGGGCAAGCGCCTGCGAAAACAATCAGTACGAGATTTTAGATATGTCAGTAGAGGACATCTGGGCAATTTACCTCATAATGCTGTTCGTTTCATGTACACAAGTATGATGATGTAATGCAATGCGGTGAGCCCAGTTATCATGCCTCGCTTCATCTGGATAACAATACCAATGGTGTTGAAAATGAGGTAAAGCGCAAAAAGACTAAGAAAATGAGGCCACGAAATGTGAGAACAACGAGTCTGAATAGAATGTTAGCATATGGAAGGAACAAGCTGTGTGCAGAAGCATTATGACTCCACAGCGTAGCACGTCCGATTGGATTCTCAACTCCTTATGTGGCCCACGTTGAGGGCATCATTGATGAAGAGAGCGCACTATAGCATGATTTAGTTAATTCATAAATTTCTGTTTTCTTACGCAACATTATCGATTAACTTGAAGTTTTGCCCCACTAGGTGCAACGGTAGCATAGAAGGCACCACGAGAAACGCAGTTAACGGCCACAAGAGAACATGATCTAGCCAACGTAAGTGGTAAAACAGTTGCGGTAGACTTCAGGAAGAAAAAATTTACCTTGGCAGGCCCTGCACATATAGGCAGCACCAAGGACACAGTGAAACTGAGTAGTCAATGGGACCTATTTGTCTGCAACGGAAACACATCTACAGTTCATACGTCTTAAGTGTCGTGGGAAAGAAGCCACAAAAGCATTCTTCATGACGCGCCTGAGACAAGTTAAGGCGCCATTCGGCTTCACATCTCGTATGCCAATCCCTTGTGATAGTATCGAATTGTGAATCCGTGCTACGGATGTAAATCCCAGATGTTGGACACGTCGTTGGAACAATGCGTGCACACACTAAAACGTGATGGGAATCTAAGCAAGCATTCCAAATTGACCGGTAGACTTGGACTGCAATGTGCAATTTTAGCTGATGATGATGTGGTCAATTTTGTTACCCGTTCTATAGTGTGAACGTTTGTGCTGGAGAGCAGTACAGTCAACATACTATGATCAGCAAATCGCTCCTTATTGTCTGTTCGGCGTGCAGCAACCCCAAAACGTACTTCCAGGTGTAGTTCGAAGTCCGATAGGCGATTCACTTGGATATTCATGTCACAATTAACAGTTACACACCAGCATTCTGCGAAATACAGAAGAGATCAGAGCTGACGATAGAGTCCATCTTTGATAGACCCCGCCGAACTACAGCTCGCTGAGGCATACAGCAAGATGCTGTCAACAAAACCAAGGGAAACCAGAAGATGAACGGCACAGATGTGAGCGCTTGTTGGCACTCAATCGAGAGCAGCACAGACATCATAAATACCTTGAAACCCTGGCTCAGCAAAGACATATTCAGAATCAGGAAGCCGAAGATTCGTTACGAACCTACTATCGTGTTTGGACGTTTTAGAAACAATAACTATCAAAACCAATAGAGGGAAGAGCGAGAGTCAGCACTGCCTATTGATCGATCTGACCTGAACTGCATACGCCGGGGGAACTCATGGGATTAGACGCATCGCGAACAATGCGAAATCATCAACAGTCTCTTGACCATTAACCGGGAGAAAAGGAGCAGTGAATAGAGAGAAGGACAACAGGAAAGAACGGAACCAGTGGTGGGGGTATTTCGAATAGAAGACATTCATGCTACTGATTCCGAGAGAAGAATTTTGTCTGAGGGGCCATAGTTTAAGCCTGTTGGATAAATGTTGGACAAAGCAGTGGGGATCATGCGTAGTTCGGAAATGGGACGCAAGAGTCCAGTGGTATAAATAAAGGAATATATATATATATATATATATATATATATATATATGCATGCTCACGGCGCTGCAGCCCACATCACCCATGGTGCAGGCGTCCTGTGGCTATCCTAGGGAGTACACAGTGGCAGGTAAATCCGGCATCATGCGCAGCCCACCATAGATGTATCGCGTTCAAAATGCCTACAGATTACCCTTAATCTTCCAACATTGCATGCTACATGTCCCAGGCATATATCATAAAGAGGTTAGTTACGTTTGACCACCGGTGCCTTCGCAATTTAGCTCACATCTGGTGGGAACACCGAGTGAGTAACGAGCGTGTTCGACGCCTTGTTTACGGCACAGGAAAAGGAAATGAACCGCTCAGCACCGTCATTTCACGCACCAGGCTCCGATGGTTCGGCCACGTGTTACGCATGCCAACCCACCGACTCCCGCGACATGCATTGTTTGCGCACCGAGGGTGTGGATGGAAGAAGAGAAAGGGTGGCTAAGTGATGAATTGGTCGAGAGCAACAAAGGCCCTCACTACGACGTTGGCCATAGTTGAAGCCTCTCCGCTCGTTGGTTGGGGGGCCAAAAACGATGAACACGTTTGTCTGGATACACTTGCTGACATGGCTAGGAGCCGACATCAATGGTGTTCGCGCTGTAAGTTTCTTTGTCCCTCCCCATCCATCTTAGCCTCCAGCTCCAACCGCGATCTCATTTCTTGGCATAATACAAATTTTGCATAATAGATATTTTTGCTGCATAGTAGTCGGCTGGTAGCTTTCCGGAAAAATGCCCGTCCGTTACTGGTAGTTCAGCTGGTGTGCACCTGTTGTTTTATTCTTATGTATTGTGGCACAGTAGCTGAGGTGTTTCCCACCACTAGCTAAGATGTAAAATGATGATAATGATGAGCACGAAAAGGACTGATGGCTGTGATCGCGTTTCTGAACTTAGCCTCCGATAGAAAGACAAAACTAACCGTCCATGTTTCATCCTGCATCATATTGAGTAGGAAGATGTCCAGAAGCAAAGGGACAACTGAAGTACGCTCGAAAGTGCTCCGAACGAAGAGCCAAACTGCGCTCCTTATTGTGAACCAGGGCATCCGCGTTGTCTATGATTGTTTCACTGACGCCTGGTTTCCTGGGAGCAGTGCTGTGGATCAGCTGGAAGAGCTTGCGATAAGTGCCCATAACTCCTGCTTTCTCCATTTCTTGAGCTCGACTGGTGCGCAGGTGCTGCTATAGTTCGCGCCTAATGGTCCACTGGCCACATTGTTTTCAGAGCTAGCCAGGAGCTTACTTCTGGATCGCAATAGGCCCACCGACCTCTTGACTGGTGTGATGTCTGACAGCAGAACAAGTAAACGTTCCTGCGTCATGCATGGCGGCGGAGATCCTATACCACTGAAGCTCAGGCTCATAAGGACAAGAGAGTGGAAAGTCGGTACGCAGGGCATCCTTGTAGGCCTGCGTGACTAAGGACTGAGAAAAGTTCCCAGTCGCCAATCGAGGGAGACACTGGGCACATCTCCAGGTATAGTTCATGGAAAAGCGACAGCGTACCAAGACATGATCAGAGTCGACGCGAGTACTCCAGAACGAGCGAGTCCAGGATGGAACCACGCCATCTGTAGCTTATGACGATGTGATCTATTTGGGTACATCGGTGACCAGCTACATGAGGACGCTAAGTAAACACTTCGGCGTCCACTGTGGCTAAAAACCGGTGGTCCGCACACAACTGCAGTAGTCGCTGGCCGTTGTACGTACGGTCGGAGTTAAGCCCATAATTACCACCTGGTTGAGCATCAGAAGAACTTAGACGACCTACTTTCGCGTTGACATCCCCTACTACAACAACGATTTCTGAACTGGCAGCATTGCGAAGCAGCGTGTTCAGTTCGTGGTAGAAGGTGTCCTTGACAGCATCAGAACTGCAATCGGTGGGAGCATAAGTGGAGACCACAAAAAACAGCGTCTTGTACTACTTCGTGAATCAAACGGACAGTACACAAACAGCTGTTCACGGGAATTCAATCAACCATCGATGACTCATCCCTGGAGCTAAAAACGATGTCCGCCACAGTGTGACCAGTGACTGCCGCAGCAGTCTCCGGATACATGCAACCAATAGCGAGAGGACAAGCCGGAAGCAGTTAATTCAACAACCGCGTGAGGGTCATTGATCCAGGCATCAGATACGCAACACACGTCAATACCCAGTGTGGCGTGCGAGTGCAGGCTGTTGACCTATTTGTTTTAGAGTGTAAACGTTGTACGCCGCCAAGGAAACGGGACGGCATGGCTTAAAAGGAACTGTTGCCGATAGTCGTCCAGTGGGTGGTGCAGGAAGGTAGCTGCAAAGGGTAGGACACCAGTGGCATCGCAGCTGCCGCTAACTAAGCTGAGGATTATAGAAGGAAGCTTAGTAGTGGGGGTTGGGATGGGAATAAGAGAAAAAATGGAAAAGAAAGGAGGCGCCAGCAGTAGCGTGCTTTCGCTTATCCGCCCTGCTGTATGCAGCAGATAAGGCGACCCTTGATAATCTGTGCGACAGCCGATACAGGATGCGGTTGAAGTTCGAAGAAATAGTTGTGGTTGTATGTGGGCTGTAAGGGTGCTCAGAACTAGATAGGAGGACGATTAGGATCCTCATCCAAAGCCTTTGGCTTAAAAGCCTGTCCGCAAGACAGCAGAGGTGGTAGTTAGTTTTAGAAAAATGGACGCCATCCCATCTCAAACCCACAACCTGTAGGAGTCTGTCCGACCTCTAACAATTGCCCAACCCGGTACGAGAAGCTCTCAAGGCGGCCAGGAGCACCATTCAGTATAGTTTAATGGATCGAAGAAGTATACAAGGCGTCGCACGTTCCGGGGAGTGAAGGCACGTCTAGCGGATCTCCATAATCGAACTCCCGTGCAGCCCTCGGGTGTTTCGGTTACGCATGTTCCATCAGGGATGAAAAGGTTTTCGGATGATGTATGAGACGCACAAGCAGGATAAAGAAAATGAAATCAAAAAGAAGTGCGTTAAACTAATCGGGATAAAAATGAAAATTAACAGTTAGAGCAGGAAACTCAATGCATGAGCGCCACTGACTGCGTCATGACTGATAGTCACCAACCACTGGTGTGGATCAGCCCGAGGCCCCCAACCACGAACACGGCACACCGCGGTTTCTTTATGCTCTTAATCCACGTCGTCGACTGGCCACCTTGGGGTTTCCAACAAATTAATGCAGCGACGGCATATAACGCAAGCCGAGGAAACCGGTCAAGGGGGGATATGACCAAGCCAACGTAAACGCTTGAGTTTAAGCAACAAATCGAGTGACACCAGAAGACCTCACGCCAAAAGCCAATTGGTGGATCTCAGCGTTGCTCACCCGTGTTTCCACCAGGTGTGAGCAATACTCCGCAAGCAACGGTGATCAAAGCTAAGCGTTTAATGTCTTCACTGCGCACTGTCCAAATTTCTGATCCATACAGTAATGCTGGCCTTATCTTAAAGGCGCTTGGGAACGAAAAGGAACATAGATAATAGCACAATGTCGCTTATTCGTTTTGCAATATGCGGTAGACAATGCGAGCCCTCCGAGAGTGAGTGATAGCCGAGGCTGTTTAATAGAGGTAATGATAAGTTACAAACCTTGCATGACTCAAGATCAAATGTAAGAAAACAGCGGGAAAAAAGAAGGTATCCACAGTACGCCAGTACGCAGTATCAACGCCTCGCTTCAGCGCAAACACAACCGGTCGCACGTGATCTGAGGATAGTGCGAGGGTCACCCGGTCCCTATGCAGGATCGAACCCGCGGCCTCGGATTATAAAACAGGCTTGTTATCCTTATGACTACGGGCCAGCAATGGGTAGAGAACTGGTGGTAAAACAGCTGAATGAGGAAAAGTGACTTACGTTGATAACACAGTTGGTAGCCGAACTACCAGTGGCAGCATTACGAATTTCGTGGTGGCGTAATCTGGATGGACGTAAATAAGCGTCGGTTCCAAAGTTCTCGGTGAAATCGGTTTTAGTACAGGGTTTGTGGGAATCTCGGTGAGCTGTATCGATGGGACTCGAAAGGTAAGTCTTAGAATCTCTTCGAGGTAATGCTGAAGTATTTTTCATATTATTCGCTGTATTCGTGGGAGAAGCTGGTCGGTGCGGCGTCTATGAGGCGAAAATGATGTTAAATAATGCCTGAAGTACTGGACCATTAGCTACGAAGAAATGTTGTGCGAAATTATAGGGTGCATACGAAAGTGACATGCAAAATCAAAGCTTGCTAATAAGAAGATCATAGCACAGGTGGTTTCACAGGTGTGTTACAATGAATCAAGAGGAAAAAGAAATGCGGAACAGGATTGAAGAGCGTCTGAGAAATACCTTGGTCACTTGGATATGGAAAGAGATACAGATCATATACGGCCGTAGGTTAGACATATTGTTTTCGCAACATTAGTCACGTAATTGTCATGCAAATAAGTCAAAGTATTCCAGAACGCTGCAATGTGGAAGCAGAGGAACCAGAGAAACGGCAAATGTAGTATGCAATGTTCCCAGTAAGATATCAATAAGTTTCGATGGCCAAAAGGGGCAGAGCGTGCTCCCTCGAGTGTCCACAGCGCAAGAAGGTAGACGGAGGATGCGGGTTGCAGTATGTTCCCGATCCGGGAAGCTAAATTATTCTGTGTTCAATGCGCTAGGTAGATCATAACAGATCTGTGAACGTGAAGTGGAAAAGATACATAGTAGATAGCAGGATATCACAACCACCAGAAATGGACAGAGACGAAAAGGAATGAGTGGAGTGAACAAGCAAAGAAAAATGGCAGGATAGACAGTGCCGGAAAGGAAACAACTATAGTAATCTGAGTCAGCCTTACCAACGCTGCCTTCTTTAGGTGGATCACAAAAGCCCTATCGAACTTGCTACACAGACATGTACAGTGTTACATAATAAAGTTGTTATATATATATATATATATATATATATATATATATATATATATATATATATATATATATATATATATATATATATATATATATATATATATATATATATATATATATATATATATATATATATAAGGTAAATGCAGAGCTACGCACGTGCATCTTATTTAACAGATCACTGAACCAGGAGCTTATAACCTTGATGTACTCAAAACAAAGATAACCGCATAAGACCGTGGTCAATTAATTACTACCACGTATACCACATACTTACTGGGTTGCAAAAGAGAAAAAAGGAAAACTAAACTAAAAGGCAAGAAAAGTAAAGTAAATTAAGTAATTGTAACGTCAATGCTTAAAACAACAAAAAAGTAACAGCCAAGAGCAGGAGTCAGTTATGAGAAAGGAAACATTCGGTGCGTTCAGCTAATTAAAGTGGCTAAAGCTCAAAACCCTGTCGTTCGCCCCCTACCAAAATTCCCTGCGTGCGAACTTAAGCAGTCACTTGTCCTAATGAAACTGTTTCAATGGAATGGAATCTCCGTCGCCATGCAAGATGGAGGGGCATGTGCTAGCGGCATTGTCAATCGTCACCGCACTGGTCATTGAATATCCGAGGGGTCGGTGAATCTGTTGGAATCCAGAAGAAAACTCCCAGCTGGCTCTGAGCACCCTGTGGCCAGATGGACTGTTAGGCGCGAACTAAAGAGGAATTTGCGTGCTGACAAGGAAGCCTGGTGGACCAGTCGGGCTTAAGAAATGGGAGAAGCAAGAGCAGTAGACAATTACCGCAAACTCTTCCAGCTGATCCGCATAACTGGTCCTAGGAAACAAGGCGTCAGTGAAACAGCACCGGTGTTCTGATTCACAATAAGGAGTGCAGTATGTTTCGTCGGGCAGAACACTTTCGAGAGCAGTTCAGCTGTCCCCTGCTGCCGGACCTATTCGCACTCAGGTGATGCAGGACGAGCCATGGACGGTTAGTTTAAAGAATCCGTAGGAGGCTGAGGTCCGAAACGCGATCACATCCTTAAATCATTTTCGTGCTCATGGCTCGGATATCCTCTCACCCGTACTTTGTAAGGATGGTGGTGAGGTTCGTTGTAAAAGTGCTGGCTGACCTGTGCGAACAAGTCTGGAAGGCAAAAACCATCCCAGCTAATTGGTCTGAATCAATTATAGTGGCGATATACAAGCAGGGCAATCGCACCGACTGTTCTAATCTCATAGGTATTAGCCTAACGCCAGTTGTGGCAAAATTACTATACAGCTGAGCTTGTGTTGCTTCACAGAACCAAAAAGCTACCACATGAATCCAATTGGGACAAACTGCACTCTAGTGTCCGCGCCTTATTTGTTTACGAGTTTAAGAGTACCTGCGGTAGCATGTACGTTGGACGGACAGAGGTTGTCCACTCGGATTTCAGAACACGTTCCGCAGGACCTTGCTCTCAGTAGTGCAATATTACCTGCAAGTTCTGTTGCCCGGTACTTATTCGACTGCTCAATGTGCCAGAATCCCCGCGAAGCCTTCAAAGTCATCAACAGACAGAGCAACCTCAGTGTTTCGTTTTGATGAGGCATCCACCATCCGGTGTTTGTAGCCTAACCTATGAAAAACAACTTGAATTTGTGGCCAATCTTGCTTTGCCTTGGTAAGACAGGCTAGCCAACACAACTAACCATCGAGTTCTGGTATTTATCTATTACTTCCAACCGTTTGAAATCTTCACTCATTGTACGTAAGCAGCTGAAGAGAATACACGAAATATACTGAATCCAGATTATCCCGCACTTGTAGTTGCTCTGTTAAAGCCTCAGTTCTCGTTCGTTGCTTCCCTGCGCGGCGACGGTCAAGGATTAGGGAAGAACAGGCAAGCTTGCGTCCAGGACGGGGTTGTATAGACCATATATTAACTTTGCGGCTGGTGCTAGAGCAGCGCACACCTACCGCAGGCGGACAAAAGCTGTGCTCCTCAACTTCAACGGGGCATTCGACTTAATTGATCGATGAATACTGTTCGAAATACTTGCGCGGAAAGATTTCCCCATGAAATATGTGAGCGATTCGCGAGCTTTGTACTCGAACAAGACAGGATGCGTCAGGGTCTACGGCGATTGGTCGGATGCCTTTCAGACAACAAGTGGCGTTTATTAAGGTTGCCCAATCCCCCCATCTTTGCACAACTTTGTCGTGGACTCCATCATGGAATTTTGCCTTGCGGAGCCTAACTGCAAGGCTTTGAGGTGCTGCCTGGTGAGTAGCTAGTTGACTTTGATTATGCAGACGATATTTTCCAGATGATTAACGATCATGGGGCGATGCAATTAACCATGAATAATCTGTGTAGAGTGGTACCATCATTTGGTATGCGCTTCGTAACTTCTAAGCGCAAAGTGCTGTTACAGGACCACCAGCCACTTGACGACTCCTTGACATTTGATGGCCAGGAACTCGAAGTAATTGATCACTTCATCGACTGTTGCAGCTGTATCAGGAACGACGGGTGCATAGCGGCTGATGTCAGTACACACATTGCAAAAGCTAGAACTGCTTTTTGAATCTGCGTTATCTTCGGAGTCAGAAATGGGTTTCCCTCCGGCTAAAAGACTATGTTGGCATAGCCATAGAGACAACCGTCCTACTTTGTGGAAGAGAGACTTGGTCCCTCCGATTTGAGGAACACAGGCGCCTACAAATCTTTGACCATCGTTGTCTGTGAAACATGGCTGGTGTCCGATGGCACCATCGTGTCTGCAATGATGATGTGCGTAAGCGGGCACTAGACAATGATAACCAGGCTATTTCCTTAAAACAACAGGTAGCACTGAACAAGTTGCTTTGGCCTGAGCACGTGCTACCTGGCTAGTTACCGCTTATCGAGGAGGGCCTTGTCTTGTCTGCCAGATGTAGGGTGGCTCAAGGTAGACAAATGTTGACTTGCCAGCGGAAAATGAAGTCGCTGACAACCAAAATGGGTGCCGTTGGTCCGTTTCGCTTTCCAGGCTGGAGTCCACTTGACCCGCCTTGCACTTCGCTCGAGACTTGACAAGGTATACACACACACATACACTACACACGTTAGCTAGACGTGGGAGACACCTCAACTACTGTGCCGTAATACCTAAAAGAAAAAAGAGAATAAAATGCAACAGGTGTAAGCCAGCTGAGCTACCGGTAACGGATGGGCATCGTTCCGGTAAGCTACCTACCGGCTAGTATGCAACCGAACAAAGATAATTTAATATGCAAAGTTATAAAATGCTAAATAATGAGATCGTAGTTGAAGGGCTCAAAATCGACACTAGTGGTGCGTCTGCTATCGTCTCCTAGTCGGATTGCCTGTTTAAAGTGTGTTTGGTGCAGTTATCTACGTGGTAATGTCTGATTATGATGCGGGGCAATGAAAGCCGCAAGGAAGCTGTGTCGCTGATGCCGCCTTATCTTTGCACGATAACCAGCCGTTTGTGATGGCATGTTGTTGACAAGGTGTAAGTGCCTTGACTCCGAGTGTTTGTTTAAGCAATTAGGGTTTTACGGCAAGTCCCCCTTCTCTCCTTGTTATTATTCTTCGTTCCGTAGGTCATCGTGGATGTACTGCAGCAAAGCATTAGTTCAGGTGGCTGATGTACAGTTGTTGATGATGATGGCGGGTTAAACGAGATTACTTTGAAATGCAGTCTGAGCGCGGTTTGTGGAATAAACAGTAATGAATAGTGTCTCATTGCTCGTTTATACTAATCTTTCCGTATTTCATTTCAGCCTACTTACCTCAGTTGCTTGCAGAATAAAGCCTATTCTCCCGGGCTGATACTCATCACACTCGTCGTATATCGACTCGCTCGATTCCATTACAATTTATTCGGCAAGCAATGGATAGAATCCTTCGACCAGAACGTTTCGATGCTAATCACAGCAACGCGAACTCGGCGAAGCAGTGGGCCCATTGGTTTGATAAAACTACTTATTTTTGGACACTGCCGACTTACTACTGTTCAGCAAATTGAGGATTCTGGCGAACGACGTTTCTCCGGATGTATACGATTACAGTAAAGAGTGCGCAACCCACGAACTCGCTATCGAAACTCTCGGAACTATACATAGCAAGCCGAAAAACGAGAGTTTTGCATGCTGCCAGTAAACAACGGACGTAACTCTGGAAAACTCCATGAAAAGTTGAAATCACTGGCCCAGAATTGTAACTTCATGACGGTCACGGCAGAGAAGAAGCGCGAAGATGCCATTCGGGATGGGTTCCGAACTGCGCTCCAATCTTAGGCGATACGTCAAGGTTTTTTGGAACAGGTGTCACTCGATCCACATGCTGCTTTTGTACAAGCTCGATCCCTCGAGAGGGCCTATCGTCCGTCACAATTACACCAAGCAGGAAGCTCTTGTGGCGCATCTACCACATGTCAATCAGCACCTTTGCAAACGTCAAGTGCACAGTTAGTCCAAGGTAACAATGTCGCCGCTGCTATATCGAATAGCAAATGTTTCTTCTGCGGGTTCAACAGATATGGCCGATCTCAATATCCTGCTCGCGACGCCGTTTGTAACGAGTGTGGAAAGGACCTTAGCAGAAAGTTTGTCGTTCCTCATCCAAAAATACGACTTCGGTGCTCCATTGTTGCATATTTTCGAGCACTGTCGCAGCGGCAACAAACGGGCTCTCCCATGCCACTAAAAATTTTGATTGATACCGGAAGCTCTGAGTTATATTTCCGTATCGGTTGCCAAGCGATTCAACTGCAGTGTCCTC